TCAGATGTTTTTGTGCCCCCATAATACAGTACTTATTTGCATACATCATTGTAACAAAACCATAATGATATAATGATCGCAATTAGGCTATTTGTGATCATTTGCTCTGCAATTTTCTCAGAATCTTGCAAYTTCTAACAATAATTTCTTCCAGCGTTTTGCCCTCTGCTGAAAACATTTCTACTAACAGATTAGATCAAAATTATTACTTGGCTCAGTAAGAGCCTCATCCTCATTAAAACAAACTAAACTACAATCATTCAACCTTTGTGGATCAATAGGACATTACACCTCCATGTCTTAAGTTAATCTATACCTAATTTTCTTTCAGACTGAAATATAACCATAAATATATGGTAATACATTAAGCTGTGCATAAAGTGCACCACTGAGTGCAAAAATCCAATTTTTTGACTTTTATAAACTTGTTATAATATAAGTTTGTTACAATTGATGAAATAAGTTTTAATGAAAGCAGCACACTAGAAAGAAATATTGCACTTTATGTCTAAAATCTGAAAAATGAATCTTATTAGAAGATTTTATGAGAAAAGGATAGTCAATTTGTTTATAAAAATATTGATTCACTGAAATGACTGCTTTTTTCTGTGATACAATATTTCATTAACAATGTTTCTCCCCCTCTCAATTTTTATTAGTTATTGTTTTCATTTGTTCTCTTGTTAAAATACTATTTGGGGAAGTTTAAACCTGCAATATTTAGGGCAAAAATACTGTGATAAAGCTTGAAAGACTCGTTGTCATATAACCCTGCCCTGGGCTGTAAAATCAGTCAGCTTTTAGAGATGGCTAAAAGCTGACTGACCTGACATGAAATGTTATTGGAATTTTTCGATTTTACAGATATCYAAAATTAGGCTATTTAACACTGAAGACTGTCCCATGTTCTATCTAATAATTTACTTTATTTAAAAAGAGCAAAATCTAGATAATGCAGAGCAAGTGTTTTTCTGTTAACATGAAACATGTTTGATCATTTGCCCAAAAGCAGCCCTCTGGCTTTAGTAGTGTTCATGGAAACCAGCATCTTGTTCAAAAAGCTCATGTCAGCACATTTAAAAGTTTCCCTAAAACATGCTGAATTTGCTGGGTTTTTGGTTCAACCCCTATTTCCATTTCAGTAACACAAACTAAACTGTTTCTAAAGACTGGAAAACATCAAATATAGTTGTTGCATAATATTTGTTTCTTCTGATGTGAGTGCAAACACRCACAAAGCAGTTAGATTATTGCATTTACAACTCTGTAACATTTAAAAAAAAGAAACGGGGGGATAACTGTACATACACTTCTGTTCCCTGAATTAAACATTACTTGTTTTCAACACAGTGTAATATCTTCTTTTTACCACTAGGTCATGCAGTTTTACCAAGGAAAGCATTAAAGCAGGTGGCATCACATCAGATTGTGTTTTTATTTTMATCAGTTTGAACAAAATGCTTGCTTCTTTGACTTAAGAAGTTTTCAAAGAGTCATTTAGAAAAATCAGCTTTCTTTTATTCTGTGACACTTCAGTCATTTGTTTCATCACAAATAACAGAATTTCAATGTGWTGTTTTAAAAAGAAATGCATTTGATGGCCATTAACCAGGAGGGTTTTGAGGATGTTACAGTAAGACTTGTTTCACATTAAAGGAGAAAAAAGAAGAACAGCAGCTGAGAAAACGGTGCATTTACCGTCATCCAARATTACAAATACTTTATTTCCCCTTTTACTCAATGTGGTTACTTTATTACATTTATTTTGGGAATAATTGTTTGTTTGTTTGTTTGTTCGTTCGTTCGTTCGTTCGTTTGTAGGTTACTTGCCTTAAAGATTTTCATCAAACAGGCATCAAATACAGCAGCAGATAGTCAAACACAGCAAAGAYAAAGATCATAACATTGTAGCAACAATTTTTTTCTCTCTCTCTTACTTTTTCTTCTTTTAAAAAAAGCCACTAATGATGAAGAAGCTAAGATACTAATATTCTGATATTAAGTTCTGCTTTCTACTGAAGTGGCACCAAAAAAAGCAACAAATTTTAAGCCACAAAAAAAAGACGTAAAGGAAAGCATTAACTTTGTCACCACTCCATCCTCTGTGATCTCAGCATGAAAGTTTATCTTGAAGGTGTGAGGCTGAGGAGACCGCATGAGTGCAGTTCCTCTGAATGCTTGAGAACAGTTTGTTCA